AAACCACCACACACACACACACCAAAAAAAAGAAGCTTTTTGCATGTGCGGTGGTAGATTGTCTGTAGGGTTTGATCTTGATACATTTTAGTTAATAGAAAACCAATTTCGACAGCCTTCGCAGTAATTCGTGGATTCTTATAGTAGTGAGTGCTAGTGAAAAGAAAGCCAACTCCAAATGGTTGACACTCCCATAAATGTGAGGATTCTGTGGTTGAGTTCGATTTTTCTTCTGTTGCTTGGCATTAAGTTTATCATTTCTAGAAATTACTAAGATAAAATATCAAGAAACATGTCCCAGGTAGACTGTTAGACTTTATGAATTATAGGACCATCTACAATTTGGATGAGGCAATTAGAGCATATGAATGAGGTATAGCATTTAAAGGTAGTTTCAAAGTTGTTGGGGCTGATATAACAGGGCTTTACAATAGTCTTTACTACTAGAGTAAAACATTTTTGAAGGGACAAGCTTCAAGAGTAACATGGCATTCATGTGGTATAGAGAAGCCTGAGTCACCATCAACTCCAGATAGAAGAAAAATTGTGGTTCATAATTAGCTTTAGGCAAATTCTTTCATTATTTTCGCCATTCTTTTTGGTTTCTTTATCCACTCATTATTTACTTGCAGAGACACTGTTGATCAATCTTGTGTATTTTCGGTTTTCAGCTACCTGGATCTGGTCCTTTCTCTTTCTTGCATGTGAGCTTCTAGTTTTTCTGTTATTCAGTGTATAGAAAATGACAAACTGAAGAGACAAGGAGGGTCATTTTTACAAATCTTTTATTTTGCTGATGAAAACATTGCTACTTCTGCATTGTCAGGGGCGGATTTATAGGGTAGTTTATGAGATACGTGAACCCATTGTCTCTTCGCCAAATTAGGTATTTTATGTATGTATTTTCTAAAATTAATCTAATATTATCTGTTGGTAGTTATGCTCCACGAAGACTAAATGGTGTACTCGCTATTCAACCAAGTTATTTATACAAAGGAACATGGATGAATTCTCACTCCATACTTTTTTCTCCTTTTTTTTAATGGTGCACCTATATTTTAGAAATCCTAGATCCGCCTTTGTGCATTGTAAATATTATTCATTTTATTCTACTCTCAAGTTCAATCAATCAACTAACACTGGAATCCCAAAGTAGTTGTGGTTATCTCAGAGGATTTGTCATAATTCGACATTTTTAACCCTTTTGTTCTCTACTCCCTAGTCATGGGAGAATTAGAGAATTAAACGTTGGAGGGGATTCCAGTTTCTTTATTGATGGGTATACTTATGGTTGGGAGTTTACTTGCTTTTTCCTTCTTTGGCCTTTGAAGGAAGGATGTAATTCTGTTCTTTGGAAAGGACTTTAAAGGGCAAATCTGATTATTTTTCTTTCTTTGGCCTTTTGAGGGATGGATGTTGTGTTTTCTAATATATATATATATATACCCTGAAAATCGGATAACAATTGAATTTATACGCGATTTTAAGGATACGTGATATAACTTGATACAAATTAAGGAAACTGTAATATGGCCATTATTTTGTCAAATGGAGTCCATCTCACATAAACATAAGCATCTTTGCAAAGTGTAGACTTTGTTGGCAATATTCTTTGGGACCCAAAAATATTGCATTGTGTGTTGGACATCATTTGCACAAGTTGTATCTCTTCTTTTACACCTAAGAGGTCAAGACTTTTTTGCCTATAAAAGAGAAGGCCATTAGTTCATTTTAAACACACCAACAAGACTTGTCTTCAATTCTTGTTTCTTCCTTTCTTCCTTTATTAAGAGTGTTTTGTATGAGAGTTAGTGTTTGGAAGCACTTGTGTGAACCCTTTCTTTGGAGTGATCTTGTGAGGTTATTCTCTTAGGGTATTTGGGATTAATTAGAGTGTTTACTCTAATTTTGTACTCTCTTTTGTACTCTTATTGTTATAGTAAATTGCTCCTCTCCGCTTGTGGACGTAGGTCACTTTGACCGAACCACGTTAAATTTGTGTCTTCTTTATCTATTTTAATTGTCGTTGTTATCAACTTCCATTGTCTTTGCTATTGTCATTATACCGTTGTTTGGCTAAATTTCGCACTACCCGGGTTCCCGATCCTAAGTAATTGGTATCAGAGCCGGATCTAACCGGGTTAGTTTCAATAGCCAAAATGACTCTAACAAAGACCTATGTTGAGAAATTTGACCGAAGAGCAAACTTTGGAATGCGACAATTAAAGATGGAAGCTATCCTAATTCAGGATGGCTTAGACTTGGCGTTGCAAGGAAAGG